CTCCCCCCGCCGCCGCCGGCACCGGCCCCCAGCGCCGCCCGCCCGGACGCGGCTGCCGCCGGCGGGACGAGGAGCCCGGCCGCTCGCACCATGAGCAGCGTCCCCGCCGACAGGGAGGGCGGCCCCGCCGACACCAGCCTGCCCGAGGAGGAGGTACCGGGGGGACACAGCACCGGGGGCTTGGGGCGGAGGGGCTCCGGCTTCCCCCTGCCCACCCGCGCTCCCCGGGAGCCGCGCTCCGCGGGTACCCACGCACCCCCGCGGGATGGGGGGTCCGCGCCGCGGGGCTCCCGGTGCGGGGGGAGCGGGGACGAGCGGCGGGAGCGCATCCCGGGACGCTCCCATTCTCCCGCATCCCCCTGGGGCTCGCCGCAGGGCACCTGCGGGCGCGGGGAGCCCCACGCGAGTCACGGATCGCCCCGGGGGGCGTGGGGGATAAAGCGGGCTGCCCCCGGTCCCGCTGCCCGTGCGTACCGTGCGCCCAGTGCCGCGCATCTCTTTCGCACGGGTCTCGCCCCAAAAATGTCCCAAACGCTCGCGTCCCCACGGGAGACCAACCCCACGCCCCGCCACGGTGAGAGCCGGTTTTCTCCATTCCGGCCGCAAAGTTCCTGGTTTTGCCCGTGACCTTGAGATGGGAATTTGGACTTTGTGAGGGTGAGAGCGGGAAGATTCCTGTCTGAGATCGCCTCCTCCTCCTCCTCAGCCTCCACCCGGCCGGCTGCTCCAGCAGGTCCCCGCTCGGTGGGATCAGTCACCGCAGCTCCACCGCCCACCGCCGCCGCCCGCCTTCATTTGCTTATTCCAGAGGTGGCTCTGGCTTCAAACTTCCCAAAGTTTCCTAAAAAGGGGGGATTTCTTTCCCCCGGTGGCCTTGCGGGGTGCGCGGGCGATGCGGCTGCGGCTCTGTTGGGCACGGCGGTGGGTGACACCCATGGAGGCCCGCTGCCTTTTCCCGAAGCACCCGCCGTGCCGGGCGGATCCGGAGAGCCCGGGGCTGCCCGTGGCACTGCTGACCCTTGGGGAGCCCTGAGCCGGTGGGGAGGTGCCAGGGCCACACGAGGTGGGCGATGCCCGCTCCTGCCCGCACGCCGCGCTGCTCCGGTGCCAGGCAGGTATTTTCCCTGCAGGACTGGTTCCAGCCCAGGCTGGAGGAGCCGCTGCTATTTGCTCAAGCGCAGGGAAAGGGGTTGCCCAGCTACCGTGCCTCTCCTCCCCCCTGCCAGGGCTTGCCTTCCAGCCTCCTGTTCCCTCAGAAGAGAAGGAGAAGCAGCCCCCATCGCGGGGAGGTCGCTCAGGGTGCTGCCAGGTGGGAAAAGCCCCCGCTTCATGCCCGCTCCTCCCTGGCAGCGGGGTGGCTTCCCCGTCCCTCTCGGCTGTCCCCCCCGGGCAGGGGAGCTGTGGGCCAGGGGCTTCCCCGCGGAAGAGCCGCACAGTTCGGGAAGGCGGTCACGTCACTTCGGCCGGGCGAGAACGGCATGTGCAAGGCCGGGCTCGGCTCGGCGGAGGCCTTATTTGGTAGCGGAGTGGCTGCGCAGAGCCCGGCTCGTGGCCCTCGTCCCCATCCCATGCCAGATCCCTCAGCCCGGGGGAACCGTGCCATGGGGAGGGGACCCCAGGGATGCTTCCCAGGGGGAATGTGCCCAGCGAGTGGATGGCATTTCCCCCCGTGGCCCCTGTGTTGCATCCCCCCGTGCTCCCGCTTCCTTTCCTCCCTGAAGCGAGGGGTCCGGAGGGTTTGGGAGCAAGCTCCGGGCGGGACAGGGACGAGTGTGACCCGCGCCTGATCCCGCCGCTCCTCCGCTCTGTTGCAATCCCCCATCTGCTCCCTTGGCTGCCTTTTCCTCTGCCGCTTCCTCGTTCCAGCCCCGGCAGCTCTGGACTCGCTTTTCCCCAAGGGCTGTTCCTCTCCTCCCGTCCTTCACCGGACGCGAGCGAGCCGTGATTTTCCAGCAAAGAGCAGCCGCCGCGGGTGGCGAGGCCGGAGGTCCGTGCCTGTCCTCCCGCAGCCCCCGGGCGGAGGAGCCGGCATCCCTCGGCCCCAGCCTTGTTTATGTCGGGGACTTCTGCGGGCTGAAGGCATGCGTACACACAGCCCGCGAACCCAAACCCAGCCGAGCAAGACGCTCCATTAGCCAAGAGACTATTTACGCCAGGACTAATCCCGGCGGGGCGGAAGCGCACCCCGCTTTGCCGGGAATGGGAGGGGAAGCCCTGCTCGCCGTGGCATCGCCTCCCGCCGCCGGGCTCCCGTGCCTCCCCGGCGGGGCAGTGGAGCGGATCATCGGCTGGTGGAGAATTAAAGCGAGCCCCGCTGCAAGGACGAGGCATGGGAGCTGGGCTGAAGGAGGCGATTGAATGCCTGGTGGATGAATCACCCGGACGCCTCCCCGCCTCCCCACGGCCTGTTAACGTTTTACCGGGGCTGGTTCGGGCACGGCAGGGCAGGGCACCATGGATCCCTCTGGGCACTGCTGTGTCATGGGGGTCCAAGGCAAGCAAATGCCCCCCTGGTGCCTCCTTACCTGCAGGAGACAAACCTGGCTTCATGTGAGGAAGAGGAGGGCTGCTGGCGCTCCATCACAGAGCTCACCGTGCTGGGGTCATCCTTGATCCATGCTCTGGAGACCCCAGTGACCTCCTGGCCCAGATCTTTGCCTCTCCTTGCAAGTCCTCAGCCGTGACCATCTCAGCAAATCTCCACAGATCCTTTCCAGCGTCCCTTAAACTGGCCCAAGATGAGATGCAGGATTTCGGGGACAACAGACTGGGATGGTGGGATGCAAAGGTGAGAGGGACAGGCCAGAAAGGGGATGGAGAAGATTTCCAAGGAAGAGAGTAGTACAGATGAAGAGCAGACTTCCTGCAGGGAAAACAAAAAGCCAGGAGGGGACACACTAGGAATGAGGCAACACAGGTAGGATCCAACAGCCCTGAGAAATTTGGGAGCTGTGGGGTGCAGCAGCAGGAGTAGAGGAGGACTGTGGAAGGGGACTTGAAGCGGTCCCATAGCTGCCATCCCCATGGAAGGAAGTCAAGGTGGTCACCTTTGATCTCCTCCTGGAGCAAGCATTGGCATTTCTGACTCTTAAAAAATCTTTGATTTCACCCCAAATTTCAGGAAGAAGGAGAAACGGAGAAATGCTCCACCAAATAGAAACTGAAAGATGTTCGTACAGCAGAAATGAAATGAAACAGCTCAGGCTGTCCAAAAAACCCATGAGGTTTAGGCTGAGGGAATCCCATGCTCCAGCGCCCTTTAATCCTTGCTCAAGAGCTGTCAGTCTGGCCCTGTCCCATGACATCCCTGCCGTGCCTGATCCACCTCTCTGAAGGAGCAATTCTTCCCTGTGGAAGAACAGATACGTGCCTGCTGCCTGACAATTTCTCTGATAAGGCTTTTTTTTTTTTTTCAGAGAAGGATTTTGCCCTAGGAGTGTTTCTGGTAGAAGATGGGGACTGAATCCCTGGGATTTCAGCACAAAGAAACCTGGAGCAGCTCCCTGTGGGCCAAAGCTCCCCTTCCATTTAAGGGCAGGAGTAATATTTTTGTCTAGAATCTTTTCCCTGGCAAAAGGGTATCTGTCCAGCCTGCTGGGATTATCCCCAAGGATGCTGCCTTGCTCTGCCAGTCCCACCTGCTCCTTACCCAGTGAAAGGATTGTTTATGTAGGACCTACTCAGCATCCTTGGGGCTGGGTGCATTTGCGTGGTGCAGATGGGGAGCACCCAGGAGCTGGTATCCATCCCCTGCCCTGGGCCCCAAAAACCCTTTTGGGGCTGGAGTCCAGCTGGGGGATCCTTTGGAGCCCTTCTCCCTCTTGCTGCTGTATAATTTTACAGATTCAAACTTGGCCGACCCGCGTTTGAACTCGCAAAGAAAACAAAGTCATTAGAGAAGAGAAGCTCTTCCTCTGTGGGGCTGAATTTCGGAGGGGTCCTTGGGATCTTTCATCTCTGTCTCTCTCCCATGTGGCTCTGGGGACAAATGGTCTGGCAGGCTTGGGCATGCACGGTTTGGATTTCAGGGATGCAAACTGGCAGCGGGTTCCCCTCTCCTCCCAGTCCCTCCCACTGGTCCCTAGTGTTTCCTGAAGCTCCCCAGGGAGAGGAGGGGCAGGAAGGCAGGGATGGCCCCAGGGAGACAGGGGACACCCTGCAGGGATGCTTGGGATGTAAACTCACCCGGGAGGGTGGATGTGTCTGGAGCCGTGCCCAGGAGGACCTGTCTGAAAGCCAGCATTTTTTAGCCTAGGAAAGGAAAAGGTTGCTTTCTTTAGGTTGAATTTCATGGACACAAGGCACATCCTCCAGGTGAATCCCTCCCTAGCCCCCGCCAGGAGAAATTGGGGCAATGTCTCCACTGGGGCAGCACTGAACACTGTGGGATGCTCCATCACTCCCAGTCTCAGTGGGCAGGGGTCCCCTAAGGAGCTGTGGGGAATGGTCCCAATAGAGGGGACAGGCATCCCTTCTCCACGGATCTCATCCAGCTTGGATGCTGGTACCCACAGGGATGATGATGATGATGGTGATGATAATGCTGGCACCCAGGATGGGTATCACCGGGGCTGTTGACACAAGGGCTGTGTGCAAACAGCTGAGTACCTTTTGTTATTTAATAGATATAGGTCAGCCAGAGGTTTTGTTCCACAAAGCAGGAATGTTTGCTGCTCCCAGGCTGGGAGATGGGGGAGATAGCTTATCTGCAAGAGAAAGAAGAAATGTCAGCAAAAGAATAGGTCTGGGCTGGCTGTTTCTGGCTGTTTCCCATGTCTCTTTCCCAGGGAATGGGGCAGGCAGGGTGCCTGGCCAAAAAAATTAAATAAAATACATTGAGATTTTCCCCTTCTACAGCCCAAAGGGTTAGGATGAGATTTTGGGAATGAGGAGAGGAACAGCAGGTTCAGTTCCCCACACTGCTCTCCTGGTTGCAAGCTGGTTGTAAAGCAAAACCATCCCAGCACAGGGTTTGCCCATCCTGGAGGAGCCCCACATCCCCCCTCAGGGTGGTGGGAGCAGAATTTCTGCCAAACACCCCAGCTTTGAGGATGCTGCACCACGATAAACATTAGATCCACCCAAAAAGGGTTAAAACCCCTTAAAAGGTGACTTTTACAAACCGGGGACAAGCTGCTTAAATCCAGCCCCCTCTAAACCAGGGCCTTTCCTCCAGGAGGAAGAGTTGGTGTTTGCTTCTCCCAGTCCTTAATGAGCTGCTGCAATTAAACTGAGACAATAGGCATTGTCTGTGGAGTCCAGGATCTGCTGGGGATGACGGCAGAAATCCTGTTTGCCAGACTGGGGTAGGAAGGTGCTGGGATTCTGTGAGCTTTTTATCCTGGAGAGGACTGCTGGGGTGAGGACAGGTCCCTGTTACCTTTCCACGGTGCCTTAGCAGCTTCCTCCATGGCCACATGAAGGATGGGGCCACCCTCCCAAAATTCAGCATCGCTCAAGCGTGATGCAAAACCAGCACAGTGGCTTAAGGCCTGGAGGATCCCCTTGGGCTGGCATTGCCCCTCTGGCTATGGGAAGCATGGTGTAACCCCCAGTTAGGGATAAGAGAGGGTCCCCAGGAAGCTCCTTTGTTCTTTTCCAGGTGAGGACACTCTTTGTCAGCGGGTTGCCTCTGGACATCAAGCCCCGGGAACTTTACCTGCTCTTCAGACCCTTTAAGGTATCACACTGGGGAGGGAAAGGGGGGCTGAAAGCATGGGGCTGGTCTCTGCCCCAGCCCCATGGCCCTAAACCATTTGGGAACACACCATCCCACCATCTGGGAACCCACTGAAGTTTACTTCAGTCAGTTTATTCGGTTACTATTATTTAATTATGGGGATCTGCACCAAAAACCCTTTTTAATCCTTTCCTTGCAGGGGTACGAAGGGTCTCTCATCAAACTCACCTCCAAGCAGGTAGGGGCTGCTCCCAATGGCGTAACCATCCCACCATTCCCTGGGGTGAGGGGCTCCCTCTGTGCTCCCCAGGAGGCTGACTGATGGCTCCTGTCCTTCCTCCACAGCCCGTGGGCTTCGTCAGCTTTGACAGCCGCTCCGAGGCGGAGGCGGCGAAGAACGCGCTGAACGTGAGTGTGCCTGGCTCAGCCACTCCACTGCTCCCTTCTCCCCTTGCTTCCCTGTCCCCAGCCGCTCTCTGAATTCCTCCTTCCCTAGGATGTGCACCTCCCCTGCCAGCTGGCCACATGGCATCCCTATCCCTCCTGGGCGGGCTGCATCCCTCTCACCTTTCTCAGGGCCATCCACGAGGGCTTGAATAGTCAGGACTTGAGCCTTAGATACGAGTGAGAAAGAATATTCCCAGCCTCTCCTGTTTATGCAGCAGGAAAAATCCCAGCTAAGTCTGCAAAAAAAAAAACAAATTTCACTTTCTTTTAGCAACTTGTGAAGTTACCTGAATGTAGTCACAGGCAGAACTGTGTGGAGCTGGTTCTCCAATTCCTCCCCAGTTCTCCCTGCATTTTGGTTCGGGGTTGTTTTTGTCCTTCTCTTCATTTTCAACGTAAAACTTTTTTTTTTTGGCTCCACTAATCCCTCTGGATAAGAGCTCGCCCTTGCGGGATGTCGACTGCCAAATATGGTGCCGATGCTAAAGATGCCGGAGGAATGTGAGCTGCCTCGGGGCCCGGCAAATTAGCTCATTTCAGGGCTGCAAGTTGAAAAAACCCATAAATAACGGGGAGTTATTTTTGCTGCGGGGCCGGCACGCGGCGGTGCTCGCCGTGCCTCCTTCCCTCCTTCCCTCCCACAGGGCATCCGCTTCGACCCCGAGATCCCCCAGACGCTGCGGCTGGAGTTCGCCAAGGCCAACACCAAGATGGCCAAGAACAAGCTGGTGGGCACCCCAAATCCCAGCACCCCTCTCCCCACCGCCGTACCTCAGTTCATCGCCCGGGAGCCCTGTGAGTACCCCCTGCACTGCCAGGGGCTGGATGGAGCAGGGGTACCCCGAGGGGGTGGCCAAGGGGAACACCAGGTCCCACTGGAAGTGTGGGTACCTGCTGGCTGCCTGGTGGCACGTGCTGGGGCTTCCCAAAGGACAGGATCTGGGACAGGTGACAGCAAGCAGGATGAGGTCTCAGGAGAGACCTCGGCCATGCCCTGCCATGAGCGCTCCTTGCCTGTTTCTGCTTCTGGAAGAGCTTCTCTCGCACAGACGCCGGCTCCTCACCCTGCTGTCGCACACAGGCACGAGCTGCACGCTCCCCTCTGCTGAATCCCTGGTTTTACTAAACCTCTTGGAGACGAGGAGCCCAGCCCTGGCTCCCTGAGCGATGCGCCCAGCCCCGTAGCATCCCAGCGGGAGAATTCTGTGTTGGCATCTCACGGTTTTCCAGGGCCAGCTCTGCTCCTGCATCAAGGGGAGAAGGAAGGACGCAGCGAGGGTCACAGTGCCCTGGTCACCATTAACTCTCCCTCTTCTTCTCTTGCAGATGAGCTCACAGTGCCTGCACTTTACCCCAGTAGCCCTGAAGTGTGGGGGCCGTACCCTCTGTACCCAGCGGAACTAGCACCTGCTCTACCTCCTCCTGCTTTCACCTATCCCGCTTCGCTGCACGCCCAGGTAATTCCAACCCATCCGCCTCCACCGCACACCCGCCCCGGCCCCCCTTCCCCTCGGTGCTCACTGCACCACTAACAACACCCGCCTCACAGGCACTCACTCCCCGCTCCCCGAGACGCAGGGGAGGCTCCCAAACGGAGCTGAACGCTGCCAGGGGTCCTGTCTTCCCCAGACTCCTCTCTCTGCCTTCCTACTTTTGCTGGTACCTGTGGAGGGGCAGGTGGTGAGGGAGGAGGGAGGGCTGGGGACGCTCTCAGGCTCCGGAGCATGCCCATCGCTCCTGGCACCGAACCATCCGGCTGCCAGCGTGGCATGAGGGCTCCAGCCCCCCTGGCTGGCCCTGCAGCGTCGCTGGGATGCGACGTGCTGTGCTGCTCACGGGGTGTGAAGCCAAGCAGCTCTCTCGGGGAGGAGAGGGAAGCGAAGCGCAAATGGAGGGTCCATCTTTTATTGACGAGGTGCTGCCTCGTCACAAGTCACAAGCGCTTTCTGCCGGCTGCTGCTGGCCCCCAATGGCAGCGTGGGCTGTTAAAAATTAACCATCCGCCTGGGAGAGGAGCGGGGGAAAGAGGAGGAGAAGTGGAAATGGCGGAGGAAGAGGATTTCTTTGCAGTGCCAGCCTTGCAGCATCATGGGGATGCTGGGAAAGGACCCCCGCCACAAGGAGGGGAAGGGCAGGTACCTCCTCAGCATCCATGCTGGATATCACCTCAGCTTTTGCTCCTTGCTGCTGGCTCCAGCTCAGTGATGAACAGGAGGTAACAAGCACATGGAAATAGATTTGCCAGATAAAGTGCATCCAGAAGGCTTTTGGCCTTGGCCCGCCAGAATTGAGCCAGGTTATCCAGAGCTGCCATCACTGAGAGCTGGAGCTCAGCTCAGCCAGGGGCTGGTTTGAGCAGAAGGATGAGGAAAAGTGCTCAGTGTGCAAACCATGTGCAGCTTTTGGATGAAACTCCAGCTTTTTGGGCCCTGCTGTTCATAGGAAGAGCGTTGGTAAATATTATTGCAGCTATGTACTTGCCTTGTCAAATAACTGCTAACAGGCAGCACCTGCCCTGCTCAGGGAAGCGCACAGCCAAGGAAACAGAGGCATACAGAAGCTCTGAGGGTCCCTCGGGAAAACCCCGGCCGAGACCTGACAGAAGCAATATTACCTGATGTGAAATATCAGCCTGGTGGGGAGGGTGCTGGTTGCACCTTCCCATCCTCCTGTGCAGCTGCTGGGGCTGTGGGTTTGCTGGGTGGGGGCTGGAGCCTGGTGCCACCACCCAAACTGGAGCTGCTTTGCTGGATCCTGCAGACAGCAGCGGGACCAGCAACTGCAGGATGGATGATGGGGCTGGCTTGGAGTTATCTGGCAGAGCAGTGAGTGCCTGCATGCCAAATTTTGGCATCTGATGTTTTCCTCCCTGTTTCAAGCGGGCTTTGCAGGAGCTGAGAAGGGTGAACTCACTCCTGCTCAGTAGGACCATGGTGCTGCTGTCCCAGCTCCATCCTGCCAGGGGCTGTGCTCATCCTCAGTGTTACTGTTGGAATTGGAGCTGGGATGGCTGTCCTGCTGTCCCAACCTCCCTCCACCCTGTGCCGGGGAAAAGCCAGGAGAAGGGATCCCAGCTGCAGCCTGCTCCTGCCGGGGTGGGCAGCCCCCCCCTCACCGTGTGTCCCCCTTCCTCTGCAGATGCGCTGGCTCCCTCCCTCCGAGGCTGGTTCTCAGGGCTGGAAGTCCCGTCAGTTCTGCTGAATGCCGGGTGAGTGCCTGGCCCACTCCCCTCCTTCTGGGCCGCCTGGGGACCACCTCCACCTCTACCCTGAGCTTCCCCCACTGCGAGCCCCAGCAGCTCAGGGTGGGCGGCCACTTTTCAGCAGACACCCCAAGTCCAGTTGCCCTCCTTGTCCCCAGAATGGGGTGGATGTCCGCGCCACAAAACATTCCCACGTGTCCTGGGGCAGGAGGGAAAGGCACCATGCCAGAGGGGGGTGTTGTGATGGAAAAGGCAGCCCTGACACCATCATCACCTCCTTAAACCTCAAGGAAAACTGTCCAGGCAGTCCAGGGTGGTGGGGGTGCCAAAACAAGAAGCACAGCCTTACCGAGCACCCGGCTGCACAGCAGGAGGGAGGGACGGTTCCCATTCCATCTGGGACCTCTCTGGATGGAAAAAGCCTTGCAAGATACACTCTGCAAATAACTTCGGCCTTTGTGGATAAATAAACAAAGGGGACTCACATGGAAGAGGGAAAAGAGCCTTGGTGGACACTGGGCACTGCTTTCCCTGCAATCCCATCCTGCCTGGACCATCCTAGCCAGGAACAATCCCTGCTGGGAAGCCTCCTGCTTCCACACCCGCCTGTGGAGAAATGCCAGTGGATCCAAAGCTCTGGCATCACTGCCCATGCTCACATGTGACTGCTCTGCCCATCTGCCTGGCATCTGCAGCCCTGTGCTGCGGCCACGAGGTCACTCAGCCAGGAGGGCACGAGGCCCAGCCCTGGCTGCAGCCGGCCCCAGACTTGGATCCATAAAGAATTCACCGGCTATTTTAGGCCCAGCAGATAAAAATAGGGAGTAGCGAGGCTTTGGGAACCAATGGTTCTTCCAAAATATGCAACATGCCGATGTTTCCAGATAAAATGTAAGCAGAAATGCTTTTGGGGAGATGAGCAAATCCCTTGAAACAGCTCCGGCAGCCCAAGAGCCACAGGGGGTGGCGAGGATGGAGGCTCAGGGACCTCCTGTTTCCCTTCCAGGCTCCTCCAGCTGGGAAGGGCACAGAGGGTTTGCCCGAGGGCCTGGCTCTCCTGTTTGCATCTGCCTGTATTTGCTGCCTGGAGCCCAATCCCACAATCAGTTAGGTTGGAAAAGACACCTGAGCACCATCTCTGGCCCAACTAAGCTGCAAGCTGTCCCCTGGTCCCTGTGAAATCACCCCCGAGCTCGGTCCCCAGTGCCAGCCTCCCTCACTCTCCGCCGTGTCCTCCCACAGGTCTCAGGTGTGTGATGGTGGCCTACAGTCAGTCTTGTGGGTATTAATGGAGTCTTCCAAGGTGGCTACTGGGTTGATGTGCTCTCCACAGGACCTCAGTGTGCTGGTAAGGATGCCACCCTGCAGGCTCGGCTGCCTGGGGAAGGGGGCAGAGGGGTGAGGAAGTCAGCACACTGTCCCTGAGGTTGGCACAGCCCTGGGGCTGCTCCAGCTCCTGCCCTGCAGAGCCATGGCTCTGCCATTCCCCTTGATCGCCGTTATCTGGGGTGAGAGTTTCCACAGCCAAGGAATGCCTCTCGCCTTTGAATTACCCCGCTAATCTCATCTCCCTCCTTGCTTCCTGCCTTGGATCAACAGAGACCGAATTCCTCCTCACTGCAAAACCCAGCTCACACTTAACTCCCAGCTTCCCACTTCCAGCCCCGGGGAATGCAGCCAACAACGGGAGGAACAAAGTGGGATCAGTGGGGTTTCTTTGTGCCAGGGATGCTACGGTCTCTCCCTGCAGGCAGGTCCCACCTTGCCCTTTCTCTGCTAAACAACTGTCCTTGATCCTGACAGGAATTTCCAAAACAAGCCTCTCTCTCCCCCCTACCTTGCTTCCTTCCTTCCACGAAGGAAGAAAGATTAACCACAGCCCTTTTTCCTCCATCACAGCTGCTCTTTTTTTTAACACCTCTCTTTGTTGTTTCAGGCTTGAAAAAAAACCTCACACAAGTTTGGATTCCTCCAAGACTTTCCCACAGCCTCTATCACACATCTGCTCTCCTAGAAGAAAAAAGAAAAACATACCTAGTAATAATATTTTCCTCTTTTACACTGTATATTTGTAAGGAAGAGTGTGTTACTCCCGAAAGCATGGTTTGACAGGCATTGTTGTAGTGTTTGAAAAGGCTTTTCAAATGGAACCATAGGAAAGCAGACTACAAAAAAAGAAAAAAAAAAGAAAAAAAAAAGAAAGAAAAAGGAAAAAAAAAACCAAAACAAAAGCAAGTATTTTTGTACCAAAGCTCCTCAAGAGGACAATCTTACACCGGGTCGGACCACAGGTTTTGTGCTTGACTTGGGAGGTGTGTAAAGAAGAGTCTTATTATCTCCTGGCCCTGCTGCATGTGGAAGGCACGATGTTCACAAGCAATGTTCACAAGTGTGAGGATGTCGACACACACGATGCGGGTTTGTAGGACCTGTGCTCCTTCTGGCACAGGAGCTGTGCTCTGGCCGTGTTGGCAAGGCGTCTGCAGACACTACAGTATTACTGTTTTCTTCCCAGCTGCACCAAGTGACGAGCAGGCAGGACGTCCAGGAACTTCCTTCCCGTGTTGTTTTTACCCTGGGGCTGTGTTCATAGCTGCTGTGCAAAGCTTCCGTGGGGTACAACAGCTCGGATCAGGGATGGGCGGGCAGCCCACACACGTAGCAAGGTGACAATTTGCCTCCTCCTCCTCCTCCTTCTCCTGCCATGACTGCTCCAAGCTGTTACGGGCAATGTAAACTGCTGTATGAAAAAGCATACCAACAAATCCTTGGTTTGCCAGCTTCCTCCAGGTTGGACATGAGTCCTGAGGGGCTTCCCGTTACGCTGAAGCGCTGGCCTGGCCTGTGGTTTTAGTGCTGGTCCAGCTGCTCCCTGCGTGGCATCCCCATGTTTCCACGTGCAAAGATGAGAAGGGAGGCTGCCAACATCCTTTACAGAGATAGAGTACCAGCAGAGAGACTGCTTGACACACTAGTTCTCCTTCTCCTTGCTCCAGGAAGAATTCAGATAAAGAAGAGAGCAAAGCGACCCAAAACCTCTGTCAGGTTTCGGTTTCTTGGAAAGGGAGGTGCAGAACTTCTCCTTCCATTGCCTTTCCCCCGTCTCCATTCCAGCTGCAGGGAACACTGAGCTCAGCTGCTGCCCAGGCCTCACCGTGGCTGGTTTTTCCCAGCTCTTTGTGGCCTCGTTAAACATCATCACCTTTTCCTTTCTCCTTCCTCTTGTCCTGTGGGTGGGCCAAAATAAGATGGCTGAGATTCTGGCTGTCAGGGTGGGACAGGGGTATGAAAAAAATCGGGTTTTTCACCATCAGAAACCGTCCCGTTGGGGTCTTCTGTAAAAAATGGGCCTGATAAAAATGATTTGAGAAGAAATCAAATCCAAGACAAACCTCAGAGCGGCTCCAAAAGGAACGATACCAGCGTTCCCAAGCGAGGGACTAACTCTTTTAGCAAACTATTTCCTGTACTTTGTCTCGTGGAGAGGAGAGAAGCTTCCACATTGTCTACTCTGCTTTTGGAAATATGTTTAAAGGTACTTTTCTATTGTAATTTTTTAAAAATAAAACCGGTGATTATTCTAAGTTACGCGCAGAGCGTCGCTGTGTGCTGTGTATCCGGCTGGGAACAGGGAGAAGGATCCCAGCACACCCCTCAGGGCCTTGGCAAACATCAGCCTCTTTCCTCCCTCGGGAGCAGCTGAAAGCACTGTGAGGCTCCTGGGTGATTTTTCAGGGCAGATGCCATCGTCCTGTTTGGCTCTCTTGGATCTCTAGGAAAGCTGCAAAATCCAGGCTGGAAGGATCAGCAGGCTTTAAAGAAATGACTCCAAGTTTACAAAGATGTTATCAGTTAGTTTTTAAACCTACTAATCTTGGCAGGGAGCACAGGAGCTGGGATGCAATTTTCCATGAGCTCAGCCTCGGCTGAGGCAAACGTAACCTAGAGACCAAGGGCCAGATTAGCTCTGTATTTTTTTTAACACGCTGGGAATTTTGAAAAACTCCAGTTTGTAAGCCCAACCTAGAAATTCCTCCTCCTTTCTTTTGCTCTGCTCCCACCCTGACAAATGTGATCAGCATCCCCAGGAGCTTCAGCAACAAAGTGCCAGGAGCAAGCTCCAGCTTAGCAAAGGCAGCCTGGAGAACGGGGTGTAGAGGACAGGATTAAAAAAATCTACAATCTGCAGGGTGGAAGGACGAGGCATGGCAGTTATTTGAACCCCCTGGCTGGCAGGGATGAGTTAAACCCTTAAGGCTGGATGTTAATCCCGCTGTGGCCATGGCCAGTCACAGCTTTCACAGCTTTCCTTCCCAGCAGAGAGGTTTGCTTGCTGGCAGGCACCGGGGAGGAAGGGAAGGGAGCCACAACACTGCTGCTCAGCCCAAGAGCTGCTCCGAGCAGCAGCAACTGGCCAAAACCTCTCTCCCAGGCACCACTTTAAGAGACACACAGATGTTTCTGGGAGCGGATTCAGCAGCAAACATCCTGCAGCTAAGAGAGCCGTGAAACATGCACACATCCTGGACTTTGCCTGGGCATTGCCTCTGCTCCCAGATCTGCCCTGCGAAAGGAAGTGGGCCTTGCCCAAAACATTTAACCTCTTGAACCATTTTTTTTTTCCGATTTCCCCCATAAGCCAGCCTGTTTTTGTCTCTGTGCTGATGAGCACTGCCCTCATCAGCAAGGGGCGGGAGCAGCACGGCTGCTGCTCGCCTGGCGTCCCCTTTGCCCGCGGTGACCTTTCCCCCTGCGGCCGGCTGGGGGAACATTCCATCCCTGTGACCACTGGGGCACTTACAGGAAGGCCCAAGCTGCTGGTTGACACTGGAGAATTGCAAAACGGGATCAGGGACTCCCAGGCCAGAGCTGCCATCCGATACCAGGCATAAGTCCTGGGGGATATGAACAGGCAGAGCCAGCAAAACCAAAGCGAGATTTTGCACTCTCATTGTTTCCGTTTTCCCAAGTCTGTTTGTTCCCATCCCCCTAGCACAAGGCTAAGCTCAGGGACAGGGGGATGCAGGCAGCTCCTTCCTGTGCATCCCTGCACAGGGGCTGGCTGACCAGCAGCACAAAGGCAGGGAACAGCTTGGCAGCGCCTACGAGAGAAAACACAGCGCTGATCGCCCACATCAGATGGACACAAGTGAACAGCAGAGAAATGGGAACAAGGTGGGAGAGGGAGAGCCGTATGTCTCAGAGGATTTGGGGTGGATGGTCAGGCAGAAGGGCCAGGGGTCCTGCCACAGGAATGGAGATGCACCAGCCAGGCCAGGGAGAGCAAAGGGCAGACAGAGGCGGCGCCGAGCCTGGCAGCACCCACAGCCCCGATGGGGCAGGGAGGAGGAGCAAGCCCAGCGCTGCTCCTGGGAGAGGGGGAGAAGGAATAACAAGGCTGGGAGAGGAGAGATGTGAGAGAGCAGGGCTTGGCCAGGCACCTTTAAAGGCTGAGACACAGGTTGTGAGGGAAGCCGGTGGCCAAGAGCAAAGAGATGGTTTGCTTTGTGAGGATAGTTAGGGTGTGGAACAGCACTCAGCATGGATTTGTTCCCTGATTCCTAAGGGGGAAATTGAGAGGTGTCACCCTGCAAGGGTCACTGCACTGCCTGAGAGCTGCCAGGGAAGGCTCTGCTCTCCCTGCCAACACAAAAAGGAGGACATTCCAACCCAGGGGCATGAGCTGGGTGCTGCAGATGTGACCTGCCCCGAGAGCCAGGCTCCAGCCCACACCTGAGCACTGCTACCTGCCTCACTCAGGGTACAAACCAAGCTGACAGTGGGGCTTAAAAAGCAAAGCTGAGAAACACCATTAGCAGGTCCCTGAAATGCTGTCTCTAAAACACTGGGAAGTCAACCATTAGCAGAGTCTGGACTTCATCTTTGCAGTCTCCATAATTAATAACCAGCTCAGGAGGGAATAGAGAACACAACCAAACTGATGGAGACAGGAAGAAATCGCACAAGTACTTCAGGTCTTGGATGCAAGCCCAGAAGCGCAGGTATATAGTCAAAAAATTAACTTAATGGCAGGACAATCTCCTGCCTTAACCATCCTTTCCCCCTGCTGTGCTTGTACTCTGCACAATGTCCAACCCACGAGGCCAGAGCCGTTTGACACGTGAATCCCAGCCACAGAAGCACTGATGGGTTTTCAGAGTCATGGCTGTTTTTCCTGGGCTGTTGAGTAACACAGAGGCCACTGCAAGCCAAAGCAGCAGAAAGCAAGCTGGGTGAAATAAAAACTGCTCTTACAGCACGCCAGGAGGCACCAAAGGAACCAGGGCTCAGACCCACAGGTGGCTAGAAGGGCCTGCAGGAGGTCTCTGATCCAACCTCCCTCTCACAAGAGGACTGTTGCCACCAAGAGATCTGGGCAGCCTGGTCTTGTCTGGGCAATGCTTGAACCCTCCATGGATGGAGACATCTCCCCACCAGCTGTTTTCCTCCGAATATCCAAGCCAAACTTCCCACATTCCCCTATTATGTCATCTGCCATAGCTGCCAAAAGCATTTGACCACAGCATCCTCCTTACTGCCCTTCACACTGCTGTACCTTGTGATCAGATGCCCCCTCAGCCACCTGCCCAACACACTCAGCAGTCCCAGCTCCCCACGACTCCTCCCAGGCCCTCTGCTCCCAGCCCCAGCCAGCCTGGGAGCTCCAACCAGCATCCCTGGGGATGAAGGGGTGACTGAATAGAGGGGGAGGGCTAAGCTGCACACCATGTCCAGGTGGGAGCTCCCTGGTGCTGAGCAGAGAGCCAACTGCTTCCCTTGCTCTGCTGACTCTTGCTGGAGCTGCGGTCACCTCGCTTGGGAAGGGAACAGCTACAGCTATGCAATGCCAGGGAGCCCTGCTGTGTCCAGGCAAGCCCTCTCTTCTGGGAACACGCCAATCTCCCTGATCTGCACGGCAGGGACGCGTCCAGAGAGCCTGAGCAGGGCTGACAACACCGACACGGTCAGAAGGCACCCACAGAGCCAAAGGACAGAGCTGAGGAACAGTGCCAGAGCAGACCCTCCCTCCCTGGGAGGAGATCAAATCCCAGAGCACCTCCTTTGCTGTATCCCTGACTTTGCCAGCAGAAGGAAGCCAGCACCAGCAGGCTGAGATCCAAACTCTCCTCTCCCTGATGGCTGCCAGTGGTTAGCCTTGCCATTTTAAACCAGCCAACACCGAGCACGGGCTCTCCTGGACATCCTTCCCCCAGAAGCAGGAGCTGCCAGAGGCCCCTGAGGCAGCAACACACAAAGGAATTTGGGCTCGGTACATTAGCAACGACCCGAAAGTGAGCAACAAAGCTGGAAATAATGAGATGTCAGCACCACGGTAGCTTGCAGTCCTGTGCAGAGGCGGCCCCTCTCCATCAGCAGGTAGCGGGAGCACGGCTCTCCCGGGTGGCCGGCACCGCCCGCCCGTGCTCATCGGAAGTGACAGCCCTGGCTGGCTGCAGCCACGTGCAGGGCCTCCCTGCCCTTCCCAGGGCTCCCTGGCCTCGCTCTCCTCCGCTTCCTAAAAGCCTGGAATGATCATGATGAATTATAGATGAGCTCTCGTACACTCATCATGTCACTTTTCTCATTCAACCATACGCCACCCTGCTGTTTTCCATCCCCTTCCAGAATGATCATCGTAATGGAGGAGGAGGTGGAATAACTCTGCACTCAGAGCAACTTTTAGGAGAGAAGTTACTTAGTAGAGATCCATGTTTAAACCTGTGACACACCCGGAGCTACTCAACTTGTCCCTAAAAAAAGGAAAACCTTGTTAGGATCAACCCACCAAATCCTGGAGCTGAAGGAATAACGTCCCTGCTGGACAGGAGCCTCAGGGGAGTGGAAGAGGCAGGGACAGGTAAAGACAGCACTGAGATGGGTCTGCCAAAGAACCTTCCTGAAATGCACCAGACCAAGGTGCCTGCCACACACCACATCCATCTGAAATACTCCGTTCTGTGGTCTCAGCCCGAGTGCCCTCTTCTTCCTGGATTGCAGCAGATGCTTCCAGGGAAGGAGGAGAAAAGTGGGATAATAGCCCAGGGCTGCCAGGACAGGACAGAGCAGATGCCTGCTGCAGCCCTCTGCAATGCCTGAGGGAAGAAGGGTTTTGTCAAAGTAAGCAAACTGAGGGCATGGTGGTTTTGGCCACAGTCATTCTGCCACACACAGAACACAAGAGAACATCCTGGAGGAGTATGAAGGAGGTTTAAGTTTTTAACAGCTCAACTTCAGCAAAAAGCCTGATCAGGATATAATGCTGAGAAGAGACTGAAGTGGACTGGAATGGTACTAAAATGGTTCCAGCAAACAGACACATGCTCATATAGTCTGCGATGTTTTCTAGTTCCACCATTTGATTTTTAAGAGGTCTGGGGGAGAAAAAAAAAAAAGGGAGCACTGGGAGCATCTTTGGGAAACAAAATCCAACTCCTGAAGGCTACACAAAAAAGAGGAGCTCATGCTTCTCTTCTTTTTGACAGGCTTAGAAAACTGGGTCTGGTCACCCTGGAGGAGGTTGTATGGAGACTTCACAGCCCCTTCCAGTACCTCGAGGGGCCTACAAGGAAGCTAGAGAGGGAACCTTC